TTTTAAAACTGTTTATTGGAAAACTGAAGCGATGCATTCTGGGTACATGACAGATTTGATTTGTGACGGGAAACGAAAGCACGGTCGTACAGGAAACTATCTTCCCTTCAAAATAAGAGCTTGGATTTTAAAGTTTTTCATGTAGTTGCTCCAGTTGACCACTAGATGTCTGTCTAACCCCGTTGGTGGATTGCTTCAACCAGTTACATCAAGTATTGAGCTCCGGTGTTTAAACTTTTTTTAAAGGAGCTCCCATTGTAAAGTAAAATAAATCAATACATACAAAATTTTAGTATGGATTACAAACGTTTACTGTTTTTGCTATTGCCTTCCTGCTACGTAAGCAGACACAAAGCATTGTGGGAAATCAGAACCGTGACCCAAAGCAACAGTCTGCAAGGATTTATACCTTTCCAATAAGTGTGTTTATCTGGGAGGGGAGCTGTTTGATAGATTATGTGTGTTGTGATTAATTGACAGTCATACCTTCTGCTGTTCAAGATAATGATGACTGGTAGATWATTAGTTCTTAGCGGGACTGCATTTTAATTTTAGAAAGCACAAATCCGCTTATGAATTATAAAAATTAGTAAGACCGCTAAAGTGCAAACGAAATATTTAGATCCGCAATTAGCAGATTTGCGCTTTAGTGGACTGGTGCCCACCACTGGTAATGTAACTAAAAGGGATAAAAAGTGCGAGCGGTTAAAAGTGCTCATTGCTTTAGACAAACACAAGCTCACCATCCATAAGCTGCTTTATCCTCTGAAATGGCAGTAATTTCATTGTCGTCTCCTCCTTATCAGTCTCTGTCTTCCCTTGTCTGAGTTGACTTTTCTGTAAAGAGCAAAGCAATACTTCCGCTCAGCCTGATTCACTTACAGATGTGCAGGCTATATTGCTTTTGCATGCATAAATCATAAGGATTTGACAGGGGGAAAATGCACTACGTTGGGCCGACACTAGACCCCAACCAAGTGTATGAATGAGGAAGAAAATAATCAAAAACAGGCAGGCGGTGTAMCCATGTAAAGCCGCAAAGCACATATGTCCACATTTTTCACACCGCTGCACACGGAAATCAAAGAACTTGTCCAAAAAAAAAAGGAGCCTGCATGTTTTCTTCGCTCCTTCCATCTTTGCCCATATGGCTTCGTAGGGGTAGAAGATGCCAAGGTTAGGAGAAGCTGGCATGAATAATTACCATCAAATAAATTACAATGCAAAAGGAACAGCTGCTGCCTCCACTGCTGACAAATCACTATCAGGAAGGGGAGACAGTGATGGACGGCGTTGAGGCTGAGGAACAGGACGGAGGATGTCGGTGGCTGATGTTCTACTGTTTCACAACTTTTGCTTTAACCTCTGAGGAGCTGCTGTTGGAAAACCCGTTCAGGAGTGTATCCACAGTGGAAATGAGGGCTTTTGATGGTCATTTAGCAAATGTAGTTCAAACATTTGCCTCAGTTACATCAGCTTGTCTCGACGACCAGTGCTGCCGGCTTTGTGGCTAAATATAACAAACTATTCTGTTCCCTCAGCCCTCTTCTTATTTCTTCTTCTTTTTTCAGTAAAGTGTACCGTACACTAGTGGATTATTCAATCTAGAGCAGAAATGCTGTTTTAAAATAGTTTACTGCTGATTTTATTCACGCTTTATTCTTTGGAGTACATGCAGCCTTAAAAAAACACAACAGAGGAGAAAACTTTTCATTTCAGCCCTTCTGTCTTAACACAACTTGATCCTCAAATTAAAATTGAATTCCCCAGGTCTATTAAGTTAAATCCTGTTTGGTTTGTAGCTGCCAATAGCTGATCACAATGCAGCGGTCTCAGAAGTCCAGGTAGTTTGCTGGGATGTGTAATCTGAAGAAAACATTTTGCAGACGTTCCCACTGGGCAGTCACGTGGGTATTTTTCTGGAAACTGCTCTCGTACTTTTTTTTTCTTGTAAGGATGCCAAGTACATTTAGCCGGCTCCAGCAAATACTGAATCTTAAGCTACAAGAGCAGAAAACCAATCAGGATGTCCTGTAACGACAGAGTTTTCTGTTCTTTGAAAAGAGGCAGACANCATTCTCCTCAACACTGTACCGATTACACTATGAAAAGTTATTTTTACATAACACTGATTATTTTCACCATCACTATGGGACAAAAGGAGAAATGTTACACTCACTGTTGTTGGATTAACACCGTAAGAGTTAACATACTTTGACAATGCATATTTGACACTCAGAATTTTACTGTGCATCTTTCCAGCTTATAATACGAGACGTTCATGACGTTAAAAGTTTCTCACGCTCCCATTTCCAAACAAGAAAATAAACTCCAAACTTAAAAAAATAATGCAGCTTTTTTTCCTTTCTTTTTTTTATTACAAACAAACTTGACATCCCTCAACTCTGTCAGCTGTTTAAAGAACCATATGCCATCTCGCCTCATTCTGTGCCAAAAAAAAAAACATTCAAGCAGAACTCACATCAGCAAATTGCAGTGTTTGTATCGACAGCGGAGTGACAATCTGGAGGCAGAGCACCATATTGTGCGGCCGCCATCGCTGCACGCCGAGTGCTGCCAAAGCTGCCATCTGCCAGGTGAGTTGTACACTCCTCCATACTTCTCTCCTCCACTGTTTATCGCTTCTTTCTTCCTTCTTCTGATCGTTTCAGCCTTTAATAGTCACCTCCCCTTCCTCTACCTGTTCCCTTCTATTTTCCTTCTGCGTGTAAGACCCCCCCCCCCCCCCACAGCCCACTGGAATCAGCAGAAGTGTGAGGAATAAAAGGGATGTGAAGCAGAGGGAAGGACAACAGTGGTTTTAGCTGTGCCTAATGATCTGCAGTAATTTCTTCTCTACATTTGTCTGTTTCCATCTTTTTGTGTCCGCTCATCACTTCTCTCAATTCTGTCTTTTTAGTCACCCACAGCCAAAGGCGAAGGCCGACTTAGTTTGTCTGCACTGTTAGTAAAATACTGGTGCGGTAGTAGCTGTGAGTCATTCAAAACACAAAAACAAAGAGAAGGTTTCACCAAAGGAGATTTAACTTTGTCACTTCTCAGCAAACGATTTTCTTAAATCTGTGGCTTAAACGGTGGCGGGTGATATGCATTTTTACCTCCGCCAAGGGTGAGGTAATGTTTTCGGTCACGTCTGTCTGTCTGTCTGTGGACAAYATTACTCAAAAACTTATGAATGGATTGTCATGACATTTTTTACCACATGTGGGTACTGGGCCAAGAAACACACCTTTAAATTTTGGTGATGTTCCGGATCACGATGCGGATACAGGATTTTTTTTTTCTTTTCACACTCTGAGATCAGCAAAGCCGTGATGCTTTCACAGGGCTTCTGTAAAAAACAGTGAGCTGGATTGGACAGCACGGACTTCAAACTTTATAAAAGTAATGTTAAAACCACATTAAATGATGAATAATTTTTGCCAAAATATATGCATTTACAGAACGTTTTGTGACCAGGAAGTGTGTGACTGCACCATTAAACCTATTTTTCCCATTTCCTCAAACACACCACATTTCCGAAACAACCAATCGAAACAGTTTGTCTCTACTAGGCTTGTAAGCAGAGAGCTGCCGGGACGAGGGGAGCCAGGAAGCACTTTATAAAGAGAGTCAAACCATTACAAACTCATACAAGGAGATAAAACAGACGTTTTACATGGTGAAATGTGACTGATGAAAACTTAGGAGCTTAATCCGACACAAGTTTCATGATGAATAATGTCGGGTGACGAGTCTGACTTTTTTTTTCCACATTAGACTCCACTGAGAAGAAATCCCGTGCATACTGCCTGCTTAAATGTTCACTACGTCAGAACTCATTCGCCAAATGTGTTTCCATCTCTGCTTTTGCGCATTAACTCTTACAGGATGGGGGGAATGGTCTTGGCGGAGGTTTGCACTCTCCGAGTGCTTCTAGTTTATTTTTTTATTTTTTGGAAGAAATCAATCAGATGCAAAGTCAAGTCAGGTGCACGGAGTGGAGACCCCCGTGTGCACGAGGGCACCCGGGAGCCTCCGCTCAGTCTCCCTCCTCGGGCCGACATCTGAACCGTCCTGTTTAATCAGCGTCCCACGGGCGACCAGGGAAGCGATGGGTGGAAAGGGGTGAAGCTTAGAGGTGGAKGGGGGTGGGGGTCTTCGGCTGTGGGTGGTAACCACGAGCTGCTGTGCACTCACAGCCCCGTGTAATTGTGTTACATACACTAATTCTCCTGATGTATGATTGCAGCGACAGTGTGCCGCCTTTGCCCCTGACCCACATTTGCTCTCTCTGATAGTTAAATTACTTCAAAATCAATGTCACGCATTGAGCTGGTCATTTAAAATCGCCGACTGTTTTCTTTTTGTCTTGCTTGTGCGGCAAAGCATGTCGTAGTCTTCATTCTTTATTTTCCCGTTTTTCGTTTTGTTTTTTTCAATCCTCTCGAACTTACATTAGCTCATTAATCTCTGTAGAGGTCTAAGATAACACTTAACTCCTTGCTTGTGGGTGAACGTGACAGAGACAGATGTTCTAAATTACTTCACCTACACTGGTCTGGTGTTTCCCCCACCCACCACCCCCGGGAGGTAAAAAGGACCCAACAATAATGTCGTTTCACCTGCATTTCTTCTCCGCTCCAAACGGCTGCAATAAGCGCCGCAGGATGGAATAATTGCAGCACTTCTCTGAGTGAAGGTGAAGGCAGGGCGATAATGTTTTCTGTTTTGTGAGTTATAAAAAACACTGCATGAACCAGAGGACAGATTTTAATGAAACTTGCAAAAACGTAATCATTCGATGTACATATTGACTTTTGAAGTCGATCTGATTCAAGACAGCCGGCGCAGCCGACGAACCTTAAACACAAAAACGACTAAAACTCAGTCAGTGTTACAGATATTGATCCAAAATTTGGTGCTAAAGTAAATGAGACTGACCTCCAACACAAATCCTGAGTGCTAACAGACCGTGAAAGATCTTTGTTTACATTTTTTGCCATTAATTATTTAGAGGTTACTCCGCCTGTGAAGGCCCTGTCACACTAGAACAATTTGGACAACTAGTGAAAATTTTTTATGACCATTTTCCTCATATCGGCTGTATTCAATCTGTTAGCATTACGATATGTACAGGTTCAAAAGAAGCTTCCAGTAGATTTATTTTTTTAATTCCATCTTCAGCTTAGACATTTTTAGTGTTGGACAAACTTTTCATAAGTTGGGATAAGTTGTCTAAAACATTACAGTGTAACAGGGCCTTTASCAAAATATCTTAAAGGGCCAATAATTTGTGTTTCTCAGGCATATATTTAAATACTATACCATAATAAAGTATCTATGTCACCTTTAGTTGTTATTAAAATGTTGTTTATATGTTTAAATAGAAAATAAACTTGTCTTCTCATCACTTCCTCTTCTAAACGCCTTGAAATTGGCCTCTGTCTCTTTAAGAACCACCTTCCGCTTCTGTTTCGCCCCTTTCGGCTCGCGGGGGAAGGAGGGGGAGCTGCCATGATGCAGTTTACTTGGCATCTGAAAATACTGTACATTTCCTCAAAGGTATTTTTAATCTGAAAAGAGCTTCACTGAGTGAGAACTAATGTTGAGAGGTCAGCAGACAGTTAAGTTTCACTTTCACCCAAGGGCCTGCAGGAGTCTTGGGCGCCTGGGCGGGAAGGGGGGTGGCGCTCCTCCATGATAAGGTTCGGCTTAAAGACACGTCCCAGGGGTGTTTCTGGTCCCCACCTGTCGTTTTGCTCCTCAACATGGCTTCCTAAAAACTCTGCAGGATTTCTCAAACAGGAGTCAAAACAAGGCTTTGGGCATGTTTTTTATGAGAGTATAACATTATAACATTATATAAAACTCAAAAAAGTTGGTTTTACATGTTATTGCCCCTTTAACATTTGCATGGATTTTAAGAAAACTTTCAGGAGATTGGATGTACAGCTGATTAACTTTTGGAGTCAACATAATTGAAGATGGCCACCACAGCTACCTGACCTTCCTTGACAAAAYACCCGTAACTCAGTGGTGGGCAAAATTCCCCCGAAGCACTAATAGGGGAACTCATTTCCTGATTAGTGCTTTAGGGCTTTTAATAATTTCTTAATTCATTAGTGGATTAGCGCTTGCTAAATTTATGGGCTAAATTTATAAGCACTGATTGAGTTCTTTAAATATTATTGATCAACATTATTGTCTACAGCTGAGGGTGAAAGCTGTCAGATGTGTTGTTCACATGTGTCACTTATCCACTAGATCAGTGGTTTTCAAACTTTTGCTTCCGGCCCACAAAATAACAGTTGCAGACACTCATGACCCCAGATATTACTTGCTTACATAGTGTTATGGACTAGTTATTTATATCTGTTCTACCTTGACACTGTCCGGTACTCATATCTTATGATAACTAGTTTCGGCTGTTTTACTCTATCGGCCCAGACTTCAAGACTCCAGCAATGCATGACCTCTTTTATTTTGATAAGGTGTTTCCAGGCTGACAGCCCTGTCATTGGTTAGATGGTTCACAGTTGGCGAACTGTGATTGGTTGTAAGCATGTCACATGATGTTATATTATTGGCTGCTCTATGCTGTTGCAGCAGCCACAACTTGACAGACTTTGCTGATTGACTTCTACTGTTTTTGCTCAGATTAAATCATTTGACGACCATACATGCAGACTTTCGGTGCATTTATTCCAACGTGTTTCTGCATTCTTGGTAAATCGTGCCACCACAATTTTTGGCGTGGTCGTTAGCGGAGCTCCAAGGACCCGAGTTACCCGCAGCGACCGACTTTTTTGGACGACCACTGGACAATGGGAAAAGAAGGAGAAAGCTGACCTGTCTTCCTCTGCTGATCGTGTCAAACTTTGCTAAAAACTCTGTTAAACATGGGAATAATAACTATAAACAAACCTACTAACTATGATATTCATTTTTATTCATTTATGATTATTAAAAAAAATTGCAATAATCATGATGAAAATATTCCATTAGCATTTTATATTATTATT